CGCGCAAGCGGGGACGGAGGATCTCCGCCGTCGAATGCTGACGCTCACTTCATCCATGGGGCTGTTCGGTACACCCGAGGAGATGAAAGGAAAGTACCTTGAGCGTGCCGTTGGCGCGTTCGGGGGAATCTATGGCAATTCCGCAGAAGAAGCGTTGTATCCAGTCTATAATGTGGATGCTCAGGGCAATCGGCTCGATCCGACGAAGCAGGCCTATGCGTTTCGATTTGCCAGGAACTCCTTGCCTCCGGTTGACGCCTTCTGGTCGATCACGATGTACAACGGCGACACTCAGCTTCTCGTCGCGAATCCACTGCATCGCTACCTGATAAATTCAGCGATGCTGCCTGATCTCAAGACGAACGATAAGGGCGAGATTGTCATCTATATGCAGCACAAGAGCCCCGGAGTTGCGTTGGAATCGAATTGGCTGCCCGCACCCGATGCTCCCATGGCCGTGGTAATGAGGCTTTACCTGCCCAAACCTGAAGTACTCGACGGCCGCTGGAAGCCACCGGTCATCGAAAGACTTTCTTGACGCAGTCTGGTGCTGTTCTCGAGCGAGCGTAGGCAATGAGATCGGCGTGCACGTGCCTGTATCGCCAGCGCGCATTGCGCAATTGCAACAGCGCAAGCCCACATCGACGTTAACAACGAAATGGGGAAGGCAGCAGCTTGGCGCGCGAGCCAAGCTGACGGCCCGGTGGACATTGGCGAGTGCCCCAGGAAACCTCAAAATTCCCTTGTGATTGGCACTTGAGCTTCGATGAAATGAGGTCAAATGGCCTTCCGAAGGCAGAGGTCGTGAGTTCGAATCTCGCCGGGTCCGCCACTACTTAATGGGGGTCGAGGCCACTGGAAACAGGGGCCGGTCACACTGGTGTCGCAGTGGGACTGGATCGATGGCGACTCTCCGTAAACGTAAAGGCAAGTGGCAGGTACAGGTCAGGCGGCAGGGCCAGCCTGCCCTCTCCAAAATATTCATTCTGCAAGCAGGCGCCCGCTCATGGGCACGCACGGTTGAAGCAGGAATTGACCGGGGCGAAGCGCTGGTTGCCCCCGTAGCCGAACTCAAGCCGCCAGCGAATGGCAAGCCTCGTAATCGGCGCTTGAGCCGTGACGAGGGCGGCAGAGTGGAGGCCGCACCAAAGAAGCTCCGCAGCCCTGGGATGCAAGCATTGATGCGTTTCGCCCTCCAAACCGGCATGCGGCGTGGCGAGTTGGTCAAGTGCGAATGAGGTAGCGCTGATCAGCGGCCACAAGAATGTGCGCATGCTAATGCGGTACACTCAGCCTGAGGGCGGAAACCATCGCGGCACGCCTGCAAGTCGCGACTGAGCGTCACGGCTGAGTGCTAAGAGGGCTCGCAGCGCCCCAGTTTACGACCGGTCCAGACACCCGGAGTCCTGCGAGCAAATGGCAGCCGCCAGAACGATAATTCTTACCGCCCTTGTTTTGCCTGCCGCGCAAGAATCCGATGATCTGCACACCGTGCTCCCGATCTTTATTTCCGCCCAGAGAGCACACGGTTCCTCGTCGCCGCGGAACCTCTATGCCACGCATGCATTATATATAGCTTTCCAAATTGGTTCAGCGTCACGGTTGAACGATACCGGAGAGCATATGGGTGCCTTGCGCTGGGAAATTTACAGAGCAGACAGTCTCGTCATCGTCAGCGGTGTTGGGGTATTCGACTTCCCTTTTATCGTCAGCTACCGAAACGCGATGCTTGCCGAAGGAGCTGCCGCTTACGGCAAGCTTCTCGATCTGCGCCGAACCGACATTGTAGTGAGCCCGCATGATCTCGATAGAATTTCGGATGACCCGCGGTTCAACCGCCTGACTACGGGCTCGATTGCGATCATGATTGGAAGGACCCCACCTCCCATGCTGATCGATATGGCGATGCTACTCCAGCATCGAATGGGCAACTCCCGGCGCATCTGCATCTTCGTCTACGAGGAGGAAGCCAGAAGATGGCTAGCGGGCTAGCGGATTTTCGGGGTCGGATGCTCTCACGCAACCGTCGCTCTACATGCTGGTCCTGCTCCTGGGGCCTCTTCCCCGGCCATCGTTAGCGCCGGAACCGCCGACCGAAAGCGTGAG